TACATTAATATGTATGTTCATTTATTTGTTTTACTATATCTGAGGAATTTCGTTTATCCTACTTACCTTTACCTTATCCTCCGTATTTTAAGAAAAGTGTCAAATATCTAAATAATACATGAACAAGATGTTATGTTACAACCCTTTTTTATTCTGGTCTTGCGTTAACAGGGGCGGATCTAGTTGTATTTCGAACATTCCTTTTTATCAGAGTCTCCCATAACTTTCTATACAAGGCATTGTTCTAATCCGACCTTAATCTTCTCGACTCGGATTCCGCTTAATTCATGTTCCTCTCTGATTTATTTTCTCCAGAAGCCGTTTCTGTCTGTTCTGAGAAGCGTTTTCGTCTCACGAAGACCACTTTTATTTACTTTTTATTTTCTTTTAAAACCTTATTTTCCTGCAGATATCTCATGGGGTTAGTACAAATAAGTTTCATTAACCAAGATTCGACACAAACGTTTTATTACTTTCACTCAACAAATGCTTCACAGTTACATTGTTGTACCAATTACATTAAAAATACGACCGGAAATTGTTCACCTTATAAAAAAATAACGTTAACATTATTTTCTGCACTTGAATTGATTTTTGTTTGTGTATTTATTTAAACAGTAAAATTCAAACCACAGTAAAACCAGGAATATTTATGCATTGATTTTGGTGTTTAATAACAGACAATTTAACTGAAAATGTGTTTTATAGCCAAAAATATTATATATACTTATAATAGAATTATTATTGTGTTTCTCATATTAGTTTACCAAACATTTCAATCTAAAGCACAATTTACAACATTTCTTTGAAATACACTTACTTAGTCAGACACAACACCATCTTGTCGCGACATATTGCGACGGCATATTGCACAATACTTGAATTATTAATTTAAATGGTCAAAAATTCATTACCATAATTTTTACATAACTTTTCAGGCTTCGAAACATAAGATAAGAAATTTGCGATCTTTTCCACGGGTTTGCTAATTTATAATTTGCAAACAAATTTTACAATCAATTAAACAAATAACTGCTTCCTTGAAAAATAATTCCTATAATAGACTCTAAACAAAATAAATCGGCACCCACTGGATATTAAATAGTGAGAGCATAATTATTCTAGGTACCTTAATAATAAAACATCTGTATAATTTTATACTAGAACAATAAAAGTATGAATCAGTTTTTAAAATTAATTAATAATCTACATAGATTATGCACAAACAATTCTCTTCTTCACTTCTCCCCTTTTTCGCCTTCATATAACTTCCAAACAAATTTGGGCTTTTAAAAGCTGCCTCATCACTGTATGTATTTTTTATACTTGTAAACCGTCCTCCCAGGTTCGAAAAATTTCGAGGATGATTTGATTAGCATCGATCCTCCCGAGCGAGCGTTTTATTAATTAACGGATATTAGTCGAGCTAAAGTAATGATACGAATTTGCGCGAACAATGGTCGCCAACCGCAGCCGTCTTGAGAATTACTTATTGCCATTCATAACCAACACCGTGAGGAGCACACAACACGGGTAAACGCAATAAGCGGTCCTGATAATGCCACTTAATACACGACGAATGCTAAATTTAATTTCTACCACCTCTGGTTTTCGTATAGACAACGACGACAACGATAACAGAAAGCAGGGGAATTACTCGGATACGATTCCGCTTTGCGCGGTTGAGCTTGTGCAGAAGCACTGCACTGTCACAAAAGGATTCGGATTGTTTTGTTTATTTCCTGATTTATCTAATCTAACTCGATGTTTCCACTTTGATGTTTAGTAAATATTTGATATTTAGTAAATGTCTGCCAAAAGGCGAGCAATACAACAACTATGTGGCAACTTAATTATCGTGCAATCAATAGTAATGTCCCGAGTGCATTTCAAACTGTCGAGAGAAAACTGTGAGACAATTTGTTGTGCATGAGAAGAATTTAAATGGGAATCTGATGTTTCAAAATTAATTTTATTTTAAATTTTGATCTGACCAAACTTGTTTTTATTCAAAATTTAAATCGCTGTTGTATTTTAATAACCGAAACTAAATTATCTTCCCAAGCAGTAGATGCATTAACCCCTTGACAGTTACTCTGTATTTCGCGAGGACAGGATAGATCTCTTAGTGGTTGTCGCATTTATTTAAAAAAATCTGTTTTTATTTTTTATTTTATTCGAAAAGTTAAACTCCTCTGACAATGTCCTATTCTGTCCAAGGAACAATGCAGATACTGACTAATATAAACTACATCTGTTATAATTAGAGAGCGGATTTCTAGGTTTAATGCTTTTTGTGAAAAATGTAAGCACTTTAAAACTTTTTTATATCTGTAACTGATACAATTTGGAGTCATTTGACACATTTTTTTATGCTTATTTGCTTTTTTTCTCAATTTTATGCATATTAAAACTTATATGCTTATTTAATGCTTTTTTCAACGAATATGAGTTTTAATGCATATTTTGTTCAAATGCCGGCCTTGTCGGGATGACAAATACTTGTTAGTTAGCCGTATCGTATCGTATGCATTTTACCTGGACTTGACTATTGAAGTACACTTACTCAAGGCCCTTTCTGTGAATAGGTTCCGGTCGTTTGGGTAATAAAATTTTATTATAGGATTGGAAAAATACTCCATAGATTTTATGACTTTAAATCCTTACTTTCGTTGTTAATGAATTAAAGCTTTTAACCAGATGTTCTTTTTCGGCATTTTGCGGCAAGACCGTTGAAGATTTTCTAGAAAAAAGGATTATTGCACCCAACTACCTACCTTAAAATTTTTCTAATGGAAACTTTTAAGTAAATGAACCGTTTATTTCACAACCATCAGTCTATCGCATCTGTCGTAGTACAGTGTTATACGTGGTTCACCCTTGTTGCATGTTGAGTTCTTTTTGGTAATATTACTAATATTTTAAAAGAATGCCGAAAGTAAAATCGACGCCGGATGAGTGGATAAGGGATTTTCCAGAATTAAAATTAAACAACAAAATATTCTGCAGAGCTTGTGTGAAAACCGTAAGCCCACTAACTTTTTTTTATCTATTTTCCTTTGTTAATTCTGTATATGTACGTTGTTTTAGATTCAAAGTGATAAAAAATATAACGTGACGCAACATGTCAGAACGACTCTTCATGTAGAAAGGAAGAAAATGTTTAAAGGTTCTAAAATTAAACAGCAGACCATACATGAATCTGTTGCATCTACTTCCACAAAAAATGAGCAGTTTCAGGTTAATTTCGATTTATGTAAAATGATGATCCAGTCCAATATACCTTTAAAAAAATTGGAGAAAGGCCCTCTTCAAGAATTCCTTGAAAAACACTGCAATCGACATATTCCGGTTGAAAGTACTCTCCGAAAAAATTATGTAGGCCCAGTGTTTCAGCAAGTTTACAACGAAATTAAACATCGCAGTGGAGATAATTATAATTATTTATGGTTCGCTGTCGATGAAACAACCGATAGTTGTGGAAGATACGTGGCAAGTTTAATTGTTGGAATCTTAAATGAAAATTTCCCTAGTCGAGGGTATGTAGTAAGTTTGAAAATGTTAGATAAAACAAATGGCAATACGATTACCAGATTTGTAAATAACAGTCTTACGTCACTATTTTTGTCAAATGCCGTACCGGCGAATAAAATTTTATTGATGATCTCGGTTGCAGCTCGTTATATGTTGAAAGCAGGGAATAATCTAAAAATATTGTACCCCAATTTAATTCACTCTACTTGCATTGCTCACGGTTTAAACAGACTGGCTGAAGGAATACGTTTGCAGTTTCCTACTGTTAATAAATTAGTGCCAAATGGTAAAAAGATTTTTGTTAAAACCCCACTAAGAGTGCTACATTTTAAGGAAAAATTTCCAAACATACCATTGCCCCCAGAGCCGATTATAACGAGGTGGGGAACATGCTTACAGGCCACATTTTATTATGATAAATATATCAAAGAATTTGAGGAAGTAGTTACGGAGTTTAGCGAAGATTCTTCTCAATCGATTAAAGATTCCATAAATATTTTGGAAAACAAAGATTTCCGACAAGATCTAGCTTTTCTAAGAAGCAATTATCAATTCGTATGTGAGGTAATAGAAAAGTTAGAAAAACCCAACGTATTGTTGGTAGATGCCATAAACTTAGTGAAAGAATTTAAACAACAAGCAAACGCAGTAGGGGGTGATATTGGTACTAGAGTATCTCAAAAACTTGACGAAGTGTTAAATGAAAATGCAGGTTTCGGTGTTCTTTCCGACGTTGCTCGTGTTTTACAAGGCCAGAAGGTGGAAAATTTGGAGTTAGATTCGACATTAGTTGTAAAATTCAAATTTGCGCCAACAACGAGTGTGGATGTTGGACGCATATTCTCCAATTTTAAACATATTTTAAATGCTCGACGAAAAAATTTTACAGTGGACAACTTGGAACATATTACAAACATAAATTGTTTTAAAGAAAACTGAAATACGTGTGTAAAATATAAAGTCTAGGATTATTGTAATAATATTTTATCCAAAGTTCTAAGAAGTGTTCTTTGATTTGTAATATGATTATGTTTTTAATGCTTTTTTGCTTAAAATAAAACTTTTTTATTAAAAATGTTGTGTTTATTTAAGCGCTTATTCTTAATTTTTTTGTGCTTATAAATCCACTCTCTACACAGAAAAAAGTTTACTTGTAAATTTACTGTGAAAATCACAGGTAATTTGTAACCCGAGATAATAAGGGTAATATTCCAACGAAATGTATTTTTAAGTTTGAATGTGATATTTACTTTTTGAATGTAAATCGAAATTACAAAAGAATATGTAAAATTACAAGTAAAATGTAATTTTGAAGATTGTAAATTTACAATAAAATATGTAAATTTCCGTGAATGGGTATGTAAATTTCCGTGAATTGGTATGTAAATTTCCGTGAATTGATATGTAAATTTACACAAATTATTGTTATTTTTAGTACTAGTTTTAATCAAAGAAACCATGTCGGGCAAAGTGAACCTTTTATTTTATGGTGAAAAACATAATAAACATGTAATAAAATCATAAACACAAAACAAAGTCATTGATGTTGTATATACTTTACATTAATTTAATTTGTTCATAAGGCCAATTACTTTGCGTTTTGTTGGTGTTATTCTTTTTGATTTGGATCCTTGATCTGGATGTATTTTCAAAAAAAATCTTTGCATCATTTCCAAAACTGCTGATACTTCGTCTGGATATTCTAAATTCATTATAAAATAAAATCCAAACGCCCAAGATACTGCATCTTTTAAAGTGACAACACTTGGAATCACTACTTGTCGTTCTAAAACTACGTGAAAAATTGTTTGTGGATCGCTCTCTAGAAAAATACAAAAATACATTAAAATGTTATAGGTACAAAGACGTTTTAAATACTTGCCTATTTCAATTGCACATGGCGCAGCCACCTTGATAATTTCATTTAAATTATTCATATCATCACCCTGTGATAAAAATTGCATTAACATAACAATTAAAGATGACATGGGCAAATTATAGTAAGTAATTATCCGCCTGGAAAGTATACTTTTGTAACTGGAGGAAAATAGTAAACCAGAATAGTAAAGTACTTACCTTTAACAACAAAATACACTATTTTGTACAAAATATATTACCACAACTAATGCACTCCAACTTGTTATAACCTGCAAGCGTTATAGTAATGATTGCGTGCGCATCAACAATTCACAGTATGCATGTGATTTCACCGGTAGACTGGATTATTTTACAAAGTTGGAAGTAATTGTAAAAAATGTTAGTATATTTACGGTATTATAAAGTATAATTCATTTATAAAGTGAATATACATTTACAATTGCGATTCTGTATTGTGTTTTTTCAATTTGACTTGTGAAAATACAAATAGTGACACAAGTTTACTTATTTTATGCACAATGCTGCTAACTTACGTAAATTTACTAAATTTAAGTAAAAAAATAAATAAAAAGCAACAGTAAAATAATTGTAAATTTACACGACTTTTTTCTGTGTAGTTATAATAATTATAATTCTAATCTGGTAATTCTAAAAAATAAACTGATCAGTGTGGAAGGCGTCGAACGCAATCTTGAAATTAGTTAGAGTACTCTCAGAAGGAGTTGAATTCCATGTGTTGAAAATTCGGTTGAGTAAAAAGAACTGCCTAATTCTGGTCCGAAAGTTCTCTTTCTGCAGTTTGGACAGATGACCGCGAGTTCGAAGATTAACAGAGGTGGAGGAGAGTAAACGGATGGGTGATCCTACATTGCTGAAAGCTTTAAAAGTTGTTATTATATTGCCCCGGATTTTCCGGTATTCCAGCTTATCTTCATTTTTAGGATGACGACGACTAAAAGGGACACGGATAATACGACGTTATATAGATTCTATCGCCTCCTTATCTCTTACTAGGACAGGGTGCCAAACAGTGTTACCATACTCCAGCAAGGGTCTCACATAGGACCTATGCAGCTTTACTATCGTTGCAGCGGATGCGTAAAGGAATGCCTTTTTATTAGATACACGACAGTTTTTTTACAACATTTAATGTGATTGTTTTCCGGGTTGGGACCATGTCAATTGAGTTTTTGGGCTCAACGTTTCGCACACTTTCGTAAGTGGTATCTTCAGAACCAGGATTGAGAAATTAAGAAGAAGGCAAAAGAGTACGGTAACTTAGTAAGTATGTCAACCATACCAGAGGCGAAACTCTTCTGGCGAGAAAAAGGTGCTTGTGGCCTTTTATAGAGACGTGGTGAGGGAAACCGTCGTGGTTGAAGCGAAATGGCCGGCTCCGGGCGGAATTACGAATCAGAGAACACACTTTTGTCAAAAGGCTTTAATTTTGCCACCGCTCCTAAGAAAATTCCAACTGAAGAAATTATTAGTGCTGTCGAAAATTCCATCAGAAATCTGCCAAGAGAAAACACAGACTCTATTCGCTTCGAAATATCCAAAATACTGCACTCAGGACGCCCCCAATCTGTCCAAAGAAGAAAGAATCGCGTCCTTAACATTAATCCGTGAATTGCTTTATAGTGATGGACAACCTGCACTTCTTGGCGATCTCATGGAGAAATGTCTAACCTCCACATATTTTACCGTCCAAGGCCAATTCTACAAACAAATCTCTGGTACTCCCATAGCATCCAATATTTTCATGGAAGCTTTTGAAGACACAGACATTGAATCCGCCCAACTCAAACCCAAAGTCTGGTTCCGCTACATGGACGACACATTTGTCATTATGGCCCCATGCTCAAAATGCCCTTTCACGACCATCTCAACAGTCAACACCCCAACATTCAGTTTATCATGGAAGTGGAAACCAATAATTGTCTTGCTTTTCTTGATGTTATGTTAACCAGCTTACCCGAAGGTCGACTTCGTCATTCAGTCTATCCAAAACCTATCGATATCTTCAAGTCCTATCACCACTCCGCTCAAAAACGGTCTGTCATTGACTTCCTAATTCATCGAGCCACTACCATTTGTGAACCAGACAAACTCCAAAAAGAATTAGAACATATCCAAAGATCCCTTCAACAAAATGGATACGACCATCACACTTTCAAGTCTGCCATTCAACGTCGGCTTAATCCTAACTCTGACAATACTTCAAATCGCCCAACTGATCTCGTATCGACTGAGGCAAAAAGTTACAACAGTCTTCAAATCTGCAACAAAAATTGTACAAATTCTTCCGTCCGTCAAAGATCCTCACCAAGCTCTAGACTGTAGAGGAATCTACAGCATTCCCTGCTCCTGTGGTATAAAATACTTGAAATAAATTGGAATTCAAGTCCACAAACATTGTCTCAAAAAAGGTCTTCTGTTCCACTCTGCCGTACCTAAGCACCAACATGAAACCGGTCACACCATTCTATTTGAAAATTCCCAAGTTCTGTCCAAAGCACCACATTTCTATGACCATAAAATCGGTGAAGCTATTGAAATCCATAAATGTCCTCATAATCTCAACCGAGACAATGGTTATTATCTGTCAAATTTTTGGAAGCCCACACTGAATGCAATTGCTCGGTTATCTCCGGTCAATGAGCTTCAACCACGACGGTTTCCCCCACCACGTCTCTATAAAATGGTCACAACCACATTCTTCCCGCCAGAAGAGTTCCGTCTCTGACATACTGAGTTACCGTGCTCTTTTGCCTTATTCCTAATTTCTCAACCCTGCTCCTGAAGATGTCACTAACGAAAGTGTGCGAAATGTTGAACCCAAAAACTCACTTGACACGGTCCCAGCCCGGAAAACGATCATATATTGACTCCGACCGTGGAAGTTTCCGAAATTATTTAAAATCTGTGCCGATAAAATAAGTCGGACGTGATAGTTATACCTACATCAACTTGCGAATCGACATCGTTAAATAAAAGAGATTCAAGGTAATATTTAAATTTAGGATTATTGCTAACAAGGTGGAGTATACGACATTTGTCTGTGTTCAGAAGATGAAGCTATTCATGCGCCCATTTTGATATAATTTTGATATGAGCATTTAAAAAATCGCAGTTAACCCAGGAATTATACACTTTTAGATCATCTGCAAATAATGTGAATGACACTTAAGAACTCGGGCAAAATCGGCTGAACACAGAACCTTGTGGAACTTCGCTTAACACTTCTCGCTGAGAACTAAAGAAACTACTAATTTTTACCCTGAAAGTCCTGTGAGATAGAAAACCTTGAATACACCTTAGTAAACCCCTGATACCACCATCTGCTAATTTATGCACTAGACGGCGGGTGGTAACCTTGTTGAAAGCTTTGGAAAAATTATTGTAGACAACATCGACGAGATTGCCGTTGTCTAACTCTCTACTCCAATAATAATTAAGTCTACAAAGGAGGTTACTCGATACGGATCTGTCAGAAATAAACACATGCTGTTCAGAAGGAATAACTTTATTGTCTATTAGGAATTGCATCATACCATCGCTGATAATGCATTCCATCACCTTACCAACTGTAGATGTTAAACAGATTGGACGATAGTTTCCGGCATCAAGTTTATTACATTTTTTGAAAATAGGTTTAACTGTAGCTGTTCTCGACTCATCAGGTACCTGCCCACTATTTAGAGATTGCCGCATAAGCAAACTCAATGGCCTTGCTAAAACAGAAGCACACTTCTTCAAAATGGCAGCAGATATCTCGTCAGGTCCGGGAGATTTGGTTTCATTTAGCTTCTGGAGCTTCACACGGATCTCATCCTCAATAAAATCAACATTATATAAGGATACGCCGAACTGAGGAGTTGCGATATCTGGAGGACTGTCTAAAGGTTGTATCGTGAAGTCATTTATTGCAAACGAGTCAGCGAAAACGTTTGCAATGTCTTCATTTTCTGTGATTATAGGGCCAGCAGAATTTCGAAGTTGAGGTGTTCTTACGGATCCACCAAGAATATCTCGAATATATCTATAGAAGCATTTTGAGTTTTTACTGCTAGCAAGACGAGTTTTATAAGCGACTTTGGAATCTTTAACCTTCGATGCTAATAAATTAGAAAAAGCCCTATGAGCTGCATAATCCATCTCGTTACCTGTTCGTTTGTATGTTTTCCACAAGATTTTCTTGTTTCGAACCGTGTAATATCTGGTAGTATCATGGTGTTTGGGCCGAAGGCTGACTGGTAAGTTGGCCACAATCGTTACATGATCTGATTTACCAATGAGACTAGTAAACTCTAAATTAGAGAGCAAGTCGGGACTGGAAGAAATAACAAGATCTAAAACCGAGGGCTATTGATTGATTATATACCTAGTTGGTTTAGAAATTAGTTGACACAAATGAAAATCGTTTAACAAATCCAATATCAACTGATAAGAAGGATGATGAAAGATAGTAGTGTTGCTAAAAGCCAACTCAAGCCAAGCGTATTAAAGTCGGCAAAAATAAGAAGGTCGGTACAATCGTTCTCCAAGTCAGATATTATTTCAAAAAGTTTGAAATCACTATCAAAAAGGACTCGATATTTAACGTAGGTGTATCTATGACAGTTATTGTGAAGTTAAGTAGACATCACATGAACAAATACATACATACAAACTCCTCCTCCTCTACTAAATTGCCTATCTTTTCTAAACAGATGATAGTCAGACAAAGATTTTAAGGCACCAAGTAGGTAACTTAGGGTTAAGTCACGTTTCACTGACTAAAATAAATGAAGGCTTATTGACAAAAAAAAAGCAGAGAACTCATTAAACTTTGAATATAACGACGCAAAGTTGCAGTACATTAGGGGCAACAAGAACCGAGAAGTAGAGGGTTTAGTGACGTCCATGAATTTGAAGAGGAAAATTACTCTCCGTACTACAACTCTGGTACCGAGAATAAGCCTTTTTAAGTTTCCGCTGCACTTTCAAACAATGATTTCGTAAACTAGTAGCTATAAGAGAGCGATGGATAAATATGTATGACGTTGATCACCCAGGAGGCCGATAATGTCACTCGTGTAGTTAAAAGCAATGGTTAAAACGTCCGATTCACTCACGACATCTTCCATAAATTTCACAAATTCGGAAAACTCTGAGACAAAAAGCTGATGTGCCCGTCAGGCTCTCGGTGGAATCACTTGTTCTAACCTTTTTAAATGTTCGATCAAAGGAACCTTTCACTGCTAGGGATCGAAGGTTCAGCCACGGGTGAATCAGTGGAAGGACTTGGTCCTTTATTTATGGATGCTTCAAGAGAGGATCTACCTTTTTCCTGCAGGTCTTCAGATTCCATTGTTTCATTTGTCGCCGCATTAGCGTTCCTAGTGATAATGTTATCTTGGGCTACTGTAAGGGTAGTTTTGGGCTCTGTAATTTTCTGTAATTTCTTTCTGGTTATATGACCAGCCAGATGACACTTAAAACAAGTTTGGTCGTCGTAAGGAAGGAAAATGCAATAATTTATAGCTTCATGTTTTATTACCAACATCTAAA